TTTTCATCCATAATGCCCACTTGAAATGAAAAAGGCTGCAAACACGCCCAGAGTGGGCAACGTACATAGGGTTACAATAAGACCGTAAAACATAGGAGCAGAAGTAGGTCATTCGGCCCATCAAGGTCACTCCTCCATTCAATGAGATCGTGGCTGATCTGAAATCCTCAACTCCACGTTCCTGGCTTTTCCCTATAACCCTTGATTCCCTTACTAATTAAAAATCTGTCTGTCTCAGCCTTGAATATACTTAATGACCCAGCCTCAACAGACCCCTGTGGTAATGAACTCCACAGATTCACTACCTGGTGAGAAAAGAAATTCTACCTAAACTCTGTCTTAACCTCTCCTCCTAAGGCAGTCTGTCCACACCAGGCATCAATCTCATGCCTGGACTGCCACCAATGGCCAGTATTTCTTTCCTTAGAAAGAGAGACAAAAACTGTTCACTGTATTCCAGCTATGGCCTAACTAATGCCTTGTATTATTTCTGCAGATGCTCCCTATTTTTATACACCACTCCCTTTGAAATAAAGGCCAACTTGCTTTTCCTATAACCCTGTGAACTTGGATGGTACTTACGTGGTTCTTTTGACCATTGTGTTTGAATCAGCTTCTGCTTCCCCTTTCGGCAGCACTGTTTCTGATCACTCCAGTTCACTGTATTCAAAAAGTCTGTTCATCATTTTCAATTAGTTTACATATCACATTGTATCTGTGTTCACTGACTGATCGTTCTGTCCATGTAAGTACGTTCTCACAGTATCAAAACAATTCATGATTTTAAAATCTCAATCAAATCTCCTAACCTCCTTTGCACAAAGGAAATCAAGCCCATCCTCTTCAGTCCCTCACTGTAACTGAACTCTCACATCAATCTCATATAAGCCAATTCCCAGGCCTGGAAATCCTTTCTCAAAAGTTGCGCTGAATTGAACACATCTGCCCATTTCACCAGTCTGTCCACCTCTTACTGAAGTCTGATACTACTCTTGTCAATATTTATGCGTTTCTGAGTTTTGTGCCACATGCAAACTTTCAAATTTTGCCCTGTTTTGGCTCATTATATCAAAAAAGGCAATGATCCTTAAACCAACCACTATATACTTCTCTCTAGTCTGAGAAACTGCCATTGATCACTTCTTGTCATTCTTAGTCATTGTATTTATGTTGCCACTTCCTCTTTAATCCCATTGATTTTACTTTTGTTTGTTTGTCCATTATGTGGTTTATAATAAGCCTCATTTTCCACTTTATTTTAATCTCTAATCATTCAGGAAGCCATAGCTTTGAATGTTCCTCCAGGCCCACTTATGAGAGGTTCCTGCTCTATAATCAAACATGAGATCAGCAAACTTCCTCCATTAGTTAATAAGATCACTCAGTTTAGCGGTAGCAGTCTCACCCCTGACCCATAACAGTATGGATCCAAGTCCCACATCAGGACTGACAGAGATTGCTTGGTTAAAAAGTTATGTTGAATCCCTGTCTGCTGTTTCAGATGAAAATGCTGTGGGTGACTTTTAAAAGGGACTGAGGGTTCTTATGTAACAACCAAAATCTGGACTAAATTCCTCAATTCACTGATTTCAGACAGGATACCCCAAAACTGTTAAGCTTTGAGTGAGGACAGATGAACTGTCTCCCCTTCTTTAATCCCCCACCCCTACAATGTTCATTTAAAAAGGATCCTTTCCCTTGTGAAGACTTCTAGACCCAAATAAGCTTGTGTTTTAAAAGGAGCCCGTTTAACCAATTCATAAAAAGAGTTTATTCATGAATGAATGCAAGAACACAACACATAGATTATAAATAAGAGGTGAGGCCAAAAGATAACATTAAAAAATACACATCGGTCTCTGAATTGTTTATGAAGAGGATGTTGCAGGTTTCCAGCCCCATTGGCGTTGGATGTTGAATGGTCAGTTTTATGATCCCCGATTCTGCTGACTGAGATTCTGTAGTTCTGATTCCTTTTGACTGTGATTGTGTTCCAGTTTTCAGGGTGAAAGAGAGTCTTTTTGTTGTCCTGTTTCCTTTTTACATACTTGCAGCACTCGGAGTGAGAAAGGATCTTCTTTTACCTGCAACACAGGAGTCACTCTTCCCCTGTGACCTGCATAGCATGTTAACGCTCAAACCAAGCGTGGTCCACGCCAAGACTTTTTGTGCTATCAGTCTATTCCAGTAGAGTCAAAACTGGCTTTTTAACCATTGTCCTGTGTACCCTGCAGATTGAAAAAACACAAAGTTTGCCTGTAGTTTGAGACATAATTTGCAGAGTTTTCCTTGCTGTCGAGCATGTGAACGCTCGTTTATCTTTGTAGCCGCAACAGATCACCATCCAGTCTGTTTCAACTTGCCTCCTCCCCTCCCCTCCCCTCCCAAATGAAGGGCCATTGTTTGAAGTTCCCTTTACAGATGTAAGTTTGACATTCTGTGGATTTCTCTCTCCAGGCAGCTACTTACACAATTTACATTGCAGCCATTTTCGGTTGCATCAATTCACATTAAAATAAATACATTTTAGAATTACACATGAATATTTGTCCAAAATACTTCGAGGTCTGACCCTTGGCCATGACACTCTTCACATCCTGGCTAACACACAACCACCACAAGACATCTTAAATTGAACCATTGAAATTTGCAGTACAATATTGGGACATTCGGCCCGTTACATCATCCAGCTCTCAGCTGAAGGAGTTCAAAATCAATCATGCAGCTTATGACCTTTCCAATATCTCTGCATCTTCCTCTCTTTCAATCATTTATCCACTTTTTCCTTAAAGAAAGTACTAGATCATTTCAGGCCTTATTTGAATGGTGGTTTGGGCTGAAAAGCCAAATAGTTATGCCTGCTCCTGTGTCTTATGTTCTGTTCAATTGCTCCCTGTACAAAGCATTCACTTCCAATCCCTATATTAAAATATTTTTCCCAATCTTTCTCACTAACAGCATTAGTTTTAAATTGATATCACCCCCTTCACTGACTCTGCAGCCATAGAAAGTAGTTTTTCTTTCCATATTCTCCTGTCTAAACTTCTTTTTAGATTGTGGCCCTTCATCTCAGTGTTGGATACAATATTGGCTTTGTTGCTTTCATAAACGTAAATGCAATTTAAGCTATTTCACTATATGTGAAGCACTTATTGAAAAACATTAAGGTAGATAAGTTCCCCCAAGGAAGGAGATTGTTGGAGCCTTGACAGAGATTTCTGTATCCTCTTTAACCACAGGCAAAGTCCCAGACAACTGGAGATTAGCCAATGTTGTTCCTTTATTTAAGAAGGGCAAATGGGATAATCAAGGAAAGTATAAGCCAGTGAGCCTTACATCAGTGATAGAGAAATTAATGGAGAAGATTCTTAAGAACAAGATTTACTCGCATTTGGAAAAGAGTGGACTTTTTAGGGATAGTCAGCCTGCTTTGTGCAGAAGAGGACTTGTCTCACAAATTCAATTTGAGCTTTCTGAGGAAGCAATAAAGATTATTGATGAGGGTAAGGCAGTTAACGTTGTCTACATGGACTTTACTAAAGCATTTGACAAGGTTCCTTGTGGTAGGCTGGTCCAGGAGATTAAGACAATTGAGATTCACAGTGAGTTGATAAATTAGATTCAAAATTGGCTTGGTCTAGACCTGGGTTCGATTGCAGCCTTGGGTAACTGTGTGCGGTTTTCACATTCTCCCTGTGTCTGTGTGGGTTTTGTCCGGGTGCTGTAGTTTCCTAACACAGTCCAAAGATGTGCAAGTTAGGTGGATTGACCATGCTAAATTGCCCTGTAGTGTCCAGGGATGTGCAGGTTAGTTGGGTGAGCCATGGGATATGGGAGGGGAGGTGGTTACCGGGATAGGATTGGGCGTTGGGTCTGAGTGGGATGTTGCTCAGGGTGGGGGGGTGGTCAGTGTGGACTCGATGGGCAGAATGGCCTCTTTCTACACTGTAGGGATTCTATCATTCAATGATAGAAGACAGAGGGTAATTGTCCCACAAGGATCAGCGCTAGGACTTCTTGTTTGTAATATATGTAAATGATTTGGATGAAAATGTAGGTGGTCAGAGTAGTAAGTTTGCAGATGACACAAAAATTGGTGGAGTTGTGGATAGTGAGAAAGGTTATCAAAAGATACAGCAGGATATGGATCAGTTGGAAAGTTGGGCAGATGTGACGTGATGAATTTTGGGAGGTCAAATGCAAGAGGACAGTATACAGTAAATGGCAGGTTACTTAGGAGCGTTGATGTACGCAGGGATTTTGGGATGCAAGTCCATAATTCCCTGAAAGTGGCAACACAAATGGACAAGATGGTAAAGAAGGCATATGGCTCTGTCTCCCTTGTCAGTTGGGGCACTGAGTATAGAAGTTGGCAAGTCATGTTGCAGTTTGTATAAAACTTTAGTTAGGCCACAGTTGAAGTACTGTGTGCAGTTCTGGTAAGCCACACTACAGGAAGAATGAGGAGGCTTTGGAGATGGTCCAAAAGAGGTTACAAGGATGTTGCCTGGATTGGAGTGTATTAGCTGTAAGGAGAGGTTGGGCAAACTTTGACTGTTTGTTTTTGCTAGAGCATCGGAGGATGAGGGGTGACCTGATGGAAGAATATAAAATTATGAGAGGCATGAATAGGGTGGATAGTTGGAGTCTCTCTCCCAGAATATAATGTCAAATAGTAGGGGACATAGATTTAAAGTGAGAGTGGGTAGGTTTAAAGAAGATGTGCGAGGCAAGTTTTTTTATGTAAGGGCAGTAGGTGCCTCGAACATGCTGCCAGGGAGGTGGTAGAAGCTGATACATTGGCAAAGTTTAAGAGGCATTTAGGCAGACACATGAACAGGCAGGGAATAGAGGGATATGGACTTTGTGCAGGCAGATGGGATTACTTTGGAATGGCATCACAGTCGGCACAGACATGATGGGCCGAAAGGCCTGTTCCTGTGCTGTATTGTTCTATGTTCTATGTACTTCTAAATTATTTCTATTATTTTTAGGTGGGTGAAACACTACCAACTCTTATTCATAAATTAAACATTTCCTGACAGTTACAGAGAAGGCAAGTTATTTATTGTCCTAAATGTTACATTAAGAAATAGAAATGTGAATATTGCTTTGTCACCGATGTTGGTGAATGTCCACCCTGAGATTGGGCTCTCCAGTACCCACACTCCACATTGACCTCTGATATGTCTCACAGCTGAGCTTGTCCATATATGTACATGGGTCACGATGACTATACAGGTATCAGTTTCAGTAATGTTCAAATCAGAAACTGATGCTCGTCACTTCACTGTCTGCAGAAAGCCATAGCATCAACATAAGCTCTGGTAATAAGCAGCCATAGTCATAACTTTAACTGTTGCTCTGAAAGGTCTTCCTTTCTTTTTATCCTGAGGGAGGTACACGTTGCTGATCTCTGATCGTTTTCTCTGAAGCAAATCAATTGATGTTTCATAGGGTCCAATTTAAACACTTGAAAGTCATGACAGTAGTATAATGCCTGTTCTGTCCTCAAAATATACGGAGCTGTGCAGTTTGTTACTAGTCATTATCTCCTCATTCAATACTATCTCCACTGGGTATTAATCCAGCTTAGTACGTAGCTGCTACTAGCGTTGAAAGCCTGCTTTCGTAGGAAGATTTGCGGCTTATTTATATCCTTATAACTGTGGAAGAGCTTGAAGTTCCTCAGTTCTAGCTCCTTCAGAAGGCTGTACCAATACCGAACAACATCGGTATCGTTTCCACTAATCTCAAACCCGGGCCAGTGTAAATGGATTGCAAAAACTAATTGTCCAATTTCTTCAATGACATTCTCCAGTATTAAGTTTTCCAGAATCTTCCACTCTGCACTCTCAATGTCTGCCTTGAGCACATCAATCTAGGAAGAGAAAACAGATTTGATGGGACACAGGTTCTGAAATCACTGCTGCACACACGATCAAGCAATAAAACAGTGTTTAGGCCTGTTTAATGACCTTAAGAAACTGGAGCACAGAGATGTCAGTTTTCTAATGACAAGACCAGATTTTCCATCTACTGGACTTAAAACCACACCTGGTACATTGAAGAAAAGCAATGGAATCCCCCCTAATACATCAGCCAACAGTTAGTTATCCCTCAATCAACATTATAACCACTTTGCAACATCCTTAGTGAATAAATTGTGACAGCCTTTCACCATAGAAAAATCATAATTTCATATAAATGTATACGAAATCCGTAAATGCTTTTATGAATGGTTGACAGGAATGTTTAAGAGTTTGCAAAAATTGTAAAGGGATCAATTGGGATTTTTGTGAATAGGAGATACTGGTCCGTGTGGCCTGGTGACTCTGAACTTGGAAGCAGTGCCAACAAAAAGGAAATAAAGAGACAAAAGTGCAATCAGATAAGAAAAGACAGAAAAGGAGTTATTACTGTAAAGAAGATAGAGTTGGAAGGAAAAGGGTGGTAAGCAGACAGTTCCAGACACAAAGAGAAAACAGATAGAGACAGAAAAAGGAACATGCTGAATTCCTGTGAGAAGAAGAAACAAATCTTCAGGAGGGGGTCACGCAAAAAAGGAAGCAAGAGCTCTTGGAGGTAATGTGTGAGCTCGCTAAAGAGATCTAAAACCTGGAATGCTATACGGATAACTCAGAAATGCTAAAGAGCTGGGTTATTTTCCAGAAGTGGCCTAATGATGATCTGGATTGCTGTTGCTCAGTTAAAAAGATTTCTTGAAAGCTACAACAACAGAACTGTCACAAACTGGGGAGAGAAGGTTTATAGAAGTATGCCTTACTAATGATAACTGTTTCCATGAAAATAGGAGATGAAAGCTGTTGTCGGATATGACCCCTGACCTACTCTGAGTGAATGAAGAAAAGCATATTGTAGAGCTGTGCAGTTACATGTTGACGGTGAGAAATGCTAGTCTTGTGCTTGTGTTGCATTTGTCGTTATTGTGTTGACTATAAGGAGTGAAATTGCTTTTTTTTATTTCAAATATTATTTGCCTGTTAATTCATGTGTAATTTACTAACCAAGTTACTTACTTGCCTAGAATCCAGCAGGTTAGCTATTTATTTCTGTGTCTTTAATGACTGATATCGATGCTGATAAATTGAATGCTTCTCCACCTTTGATGCCCTCTGCTCCCTCCCTCAGTTTTACCCCAGCCACTAGCTTGTCTCCAATTTATAGTATCGGCTACAGCAGCGTCTTCCATTCTCTGCACTGGCCAATGTTCTGCCTCTCTGACTGACAATACACATTCTGGACAGTTTTGTGCTTCCTCCACACATTCCACAGCGAGTGCCAGCAGCAAGCAGAGGTCAGACATCCACCTAATCACCTGAACTGGATTCAAGTACAGGCCCCAGGCATGGAATAGTAGTATTGTAGCCACACTAGGACTCATTAACACAGCAATTTAAAAAAATTAAAACTGAAAGAACTGCGGATGGTGTAAATCAGGAACAAAAGCAGAAGTCGCTGGAAAAGCTCAGCAGGTCTGGCAGCATCTGTGAAGAAAAGTCAGAGTAACGTTTCAGGTCTACTGACCCTTCCTCTGAGGAAGGGTCACCGGACCCAAAACATTAACTATGATTTTTCTTCACAGATGCTGCCAGACCTGCTGAGCTTTTCCAGCGACTTCTGCTTTTGTTTCCAATTTTTTAAAAAATTGTTTTATATCAAAACACGGATTAGTTAGTTCGCTTCACCATTTAAAAAGACTTTTAGCTTTATTTCTTTATTGGTCTACTTGATACTAGAAAGACCTGTAATGTTTAACTTTTAACTTTGTTCTCTATTTCTTTCTACCTTATTCTTATGATACTGTACCTATGCACGTTGTACCTAAGATGGCACTGCGTCTGGGGACATTAAACACTTCTCACTGTTCCTCTGAACTTGAGTACTCATGACAATAAAGTCTAAATCTAAATCAAAAAAAAAATCTAAATCACATCAAATCATGTCAGTTTGGTGGATGATAATGGGAAAGTTTCTTGGTGGCCTTGGAATCTTTCCTGATGATTGGTTTAGCTTGTTGTCTTACCAGCCTAATTCTGGCTGACTCATTTTTATTCTGACTTACCTAAAATGTGTCAGGAACTGGTAGATTCACAGAGATTAAGCTAGAAATTCAGTGACATAAAGCACCCCCACCCCCACCATCTCCACGTTTTGATTCGAGCACATTGGTCCCTGTTTTGTAACCTCGGTCCTAGGTTCATCTCCAAAGTTACGCACCTCCTGCACACAGCCCAATGACCCACTTCCAGACAAGTGTTGATGCCACTTTGCATTAGCCTCAGAGAGTATGCAGCAGCCTCACGTCTGCAGCCTGATGCTGGAGCCAATTACAGCAGGAGATTGGCAAAGTCATCGGCTGACAGTGAAACAAACCGGGGTTCCAAACCATGAGAAATACATCAATACTACTGTACTCTACAATATCTGGCTGAATACAAAGGAAGAAATATTCTGTGAAGAAAGAGCTTACATTGTCTGAAGTCTCCATGACACCCTCTTCCCTCTCATGCTCTGCCAATGTTGTAGGGTGAGAAATCAGGTCCAAAAAGATATCAGCGACAGTGACCCACCCAAATTTTAGCAGAGTCAATGTTTACAGTGGTCCGGGCCACGAGCTAGGCAGGAGACCTGTGCTAATGCCAACCCACTAACCAAACTCATGTAAACAAGATCAGACAAATTGGTGTGATTTCCCACTTCATGGGAAAGGAGAAATGTTGGTAAGGCTTCCCTGGAGAGATTTCCCCACCATCTCTGCAATTGGGAACTGGGAAAGAGGTTCCATGAGCAGCTTCCTCCACTTGCCAGCAATAAAGGCCCTTAAATTGTCAATTAATGTTCACTTAATGTCCTCAACTTGCCACCTCCCTGATCATTTGTCTCCCTGTGGGCAAGTCAGGTAGCTGAGCCCAGACTGGGAAACCAGGGTGACCTGTCTGCTGTATCGGGATGGCAGGATGTCACGTGTGATATGCCACAGGGGTCAGGGCTGGGGCCTCAGTCCTTTACAATGTATATCAATGATTTGGATAAACGTACTGAAGGAATGGGAGCAAAATTTGCTGATGACACAAAGACTGGTCGGAATAAATGTCAATAGTTTTAATGTACAAAAGCCCATCAATTTTGAAAATTTCAAGTGTGCCAGCATCAAGAACCTCTTGAGACCAAATTTCAGATCTCCACTCAATTTTGTGTGAAAGGCTGCTTCCTAATTTGGCTTCTGAAAAGCCAAATTTGAAGACTGTACCACTCAGGCACCAGAGGAAGTAATTTCTTTATATCTTCCCAAGCAAATCCTTTGATCATTTACACAATTAGGTCAGCCCTCAACCTTCTAGACTTTGGGGAATAGAAGTTTAAAATAGCAGAACCATCTCATGTGATAGGGTTTAAAATAACAATCGTCACTGAAGCCAGGAAATCAATTTGAAAGAGTGTTTACCGTGAAAGAACAACTTGGCACTTTGAGTCAAACATGTACACACATCTGTACAAACAACAGAAAGGAACAGAATAAGTCACCAGCAGTAACTGCCTCTTCTGTACCAATGTCCACTAACTGAATGTTATTTGCATGTAATATAATGAAATTTTGAGGTCTATTTCCCAAAGAGAAAGTTGTTTATAATCCCTTCCATTTGCAATCTAGAGGTATGTCTGAAAAAACCCGAAATACATTAAGACTGAACTTCATGGGAAGATCTGGGACCAGACCACCTACTCAATAACACAGGGCTCTCAAACCCCATCAAACACTGAAGCACTGTACAACATCCAGGCAGGACTGACTGAAGTGAAGTCTCTAATTAACAAGAGCTCAAAGTTGGAATAAACATGCATATTGAAACAGGCAGAGAGTTGCAAATGATATTGAATCATCTTCAGTGGCGTTATGATTTACCCTCAATCTCCCTTGAATTTTAAAGTTAATTTTAAAATGGACTGAGGGCAAACACATAATCAATTAAAATGAACTTGCTGGTCTCCATCCTTGCCAGGGGTTGGTTATGGAAATAAGTAATGGTAAGTCCATTGCATTTGTGTCTGCATGGGATGTTGTCATGGAAACAGGAATATTTGCATTTCCCAGAACAACAAGAGCATGCACAATGATGAACTCGGTCAGGCTCAATCAGTGGAGCAGGCTTGCCCCATAGGAAATCAGAAACTGCATTCTTTTAACTATCAGTTAGCCTCAGTTTTTTAAATTCATTCATCCACTGACTTGGCCAATGTTTGTTGGCCATTCTCAAGGTGGTGCAGTCGTGTTGTGTGAATACACCCGTGGTGCTGTAAGGGAGAGAATCCCAGAGCTTTGAACGAGCAACACCAAAGGAACGGCAATATCTTCCCATGTCAGGCTGATGTGTGGTTTAGACAGTAATGTCCAGGTGGTGGTTGTCTGCACCTCCTGTCCTCCGGTCCAGGAACTCCCTACCTATGTCCGTGACACCACCCACGCCCTCC